ACAGTCGTAATGCTGTTCGGGAATGTCAATGCTGCTTTGCCTCTCTTTTAGGCCCTCGCGTTACAAGGAAGGGCTACCAAACGACTCCTGGTGGATGACCACCACAAGAAGCATCCCCTTGCAAAGAGCACGAACAAAAGTCAATATGTAATTCACATCGGGAACAATCAACTCGTAATCCACCACAACAGAAATGGATATTATTCCGCGACAGAAAGAATTCGATTTTAACCCACCACTCGGAGAATCAATGTGTCCGGTTGTCGCAATAGGAGCTTTTTTTGTAACCTGCCATACTAAGAATACATTTCTCATCGATCCCACAAAGGATTTATTCGCTTGTAAGACTGCCCAAGAAAACACCACTGTGTAACCCACCACACCCACAAATAGTTTTCTTGTAGCGCGCCAAAAAAAAACAATCTGCGTCCCGCCACAAAACGAATCAACACGTAACCCGCTGTGCAACGAATCAATTTGTAACCCACCACAGAATGAATCAACGTGTAATCCGCGACAACAATGAGTCCATGTTGAATCCTCACCAACACGCAATCAATTTGCGACCCGCCATAAAAAAATTAGCCTGGCGAAGGACCCAACCATCTGCAGTTGTGAGTAATGCTGGTGTGGGTACCGTCTTCGGTGGATCCCCCTATGGGGCCACGCACCGTTTGAGGGGTGCCGAAATGGGTGTGGGGGCGGCATGCGAACGTTGCCACTGGGGCCTTCGGTGGAGCTCCTTATGGGGCCACGAAACGTGTGAGGGGTGCACCGAAGTTGGTGTGGGGGCGGCATGCGAACGCAGCCACTGGGGCCTTCGTGGAAGTCTCCCTATGGTGCCACGAAGCGTGTGAGGGGTGTACCGAAATTTGGTGTGAAGGGGCGCATGCGAACGCAGCCACTGGGGCATTCGGTGGAGCCTCCCTATTGGGTGCCCGAAACGTGTGAGGGGTGTGCCGAAATGGGTGTGGGGGCGCATGCGAACCCAGTCACTGGGGCCTTCAGTGGAAATCCCCATGGGGCCACGAAACGTGTGAGGGATGTGCCGAAATAGGTGTTGGGGAGGCATACGAACCAGGCCACTGGGGCCTTCGGTGGAGCTCCCTATGGGGCCACGAAACGTGTGAGGGGTGTGCCGAAATGGGGGGTGGGGAGGCATGCGGACCCTGCCACTGGGGCCTTCGGTGGAGCTCCCTATGGGGCCACGAAACGTGTGAGGGGTGTGCCGAAATGGGTGGTGGGGAGGCATGCGAACGCAGCCACTGGGGCCTTCGGTGGAGCTCCCTATGGGGCCACGAAACGTGTGAGGGGTGTGCCGACATGGGTGGTGGGGAAGCATGCGAACCCTGCCACTGGGGCCTTCGGTGGAGCTCCCTGTGGGGCCACGAAACGTGTGAGGGGTGTGCCGAAATGGGTGGTGGGGAGGCATGCGAACGCAGCCACTGGGGCCTTCGGTGGAGCTCCCTATGGGCCCACGAAACGTGTGAGGGGTGTGCCGAAATGGGTGTGGGGGCGCATGCGAACCCAGTCACTGGGGCCTTCAGTGGAAATCCCCATGGGGCCACGAAACGTGTGAGGGATGTGCCGAAATGGGTGTTGGGGAGGCATTCGAACCATGCCACTGGGGCGCCACCCTTCCCCCGACCCACTGCCGACCGAACGGGCCCATACGCTTCGGTGGGGTTTCCCTATGGGGCCACGAAACGTGTGAGGGATGTTCCGAATGGATTGTGGGAGGCCATGCTGAAACCCTGCGTGCCACTGGGGCCCTTTCGTAGGAGCTCCTCATGGGGCCACGCACGTGTGAGGGGTGTGCCGAAATGGGGTGGGTGGGGAGGCATGCGAACCCTGCCGCTGGGGCCTTCGGTGGAGCTCCCTATGGGGCCACGAAACGTGTGAGGGGTGTGCCGAAATGTGTGGTGGGGAGGCGTGCGAACCCTGCCACAGGGGTCTACCGAAATGGGTGGTGGGGCGGCATGCGAACGCAGCCACTGGGGCCTTCGGTGGAGCTCCCTATGGGGCCACGAAACGTGTGAGGGGTGTGCCGAAATCGGTGGTGGGAGGCAGGGCGGCAATGCGAAACCCTGCCACGCCGGCCTTCGGTGGAGCTCCCTATGGGGCCACGAAACGTGTGAAGGGGTGTGCCGAAATGGGTGGTGGGGAGGCATGCGAACGCAGCCACTGGGGCCTTCGGTGGAGCTCCCTATGGGGCCACGAAACGTGTGAGGGGTGTGCCGAAATGGGTGGTGGGGAGGCATGCGAACGCAGCCACTGGGGCCTTCGTTGGAGCTCCCTATGGGGCCACGAAGCGTGTGAGGGGTGTGCCGAAATGGGTGGTGGGGAGGCATGCGAACGCAGCCACTGGGGCCTCGGTGGAGCTCCCTATGGGGCCACGAAACGTGTGAGGGGGGTACCGAAATGGGTGGTGGGGAGGCATGCGAACGCAGCCAGTGGGGCCTTCGGTGGAGCTCCCTATGGGGCCACGAAACGTGTGAGGGGTGTGCCGAAATGGGTGGTGGGGAGGCATGCGGACCCTGCCACTGGGGCCTTCGGTGGAGCTCCCTATGGGGCCACGAAACGTGTGAGGGGTGTGCCGAAATGGGTGGTGGGGAGGCATACGAACCCTGCATTTGGGGCCTTCGGTGGAGCTCCCTATGGGGCCACGAAACGTGTGAGGGGTGTGCCGAAATGGGTGGTGTGGTGCTGGATGATGATGAAATGCGCATGATGATGATGATAGAGGAAAATGATGAATGATATGGAGGGAGGGAGGGGGGGGGGGGGAGGAGGAGGAGGTGAGGGACCGCGGGCGACGTCTCTTCAAAACGAGGACCCAACACCACAGGATGGTTGGGAACAAAACAAAACAACGAAATGCGCGTGTAATCCGCCATATGAGAAGTCTTCCTGTAATCCGCCACAGAAATACCTCACTTTGTAAAGTGCCGCCACACAACAGCTCAGCTTGTGAATCCGCCAGAAAATTCCCGGCGAGGACCCCAACCATATGCAGCTGTGAGTACCGCGTTGTGGGTAACCGCTCTCGGCGTGAAGCCCCATATGGTGGCCACGATCCTCGTGAGGGGAAAGCGGGGGGACCGCATGCAAACGCTGTGGCCTTCGGTGGAGCTCCCTATGGGGCCACGATCCTCGTGTGGGGTGTGCCGAAATGGGCGGGGGGACGCATACAAACCCTGCCGCTGGGGCCTTCGGTGGAGCTCTCTATGGGGCCGCGACCTTCCTGAGGTGTGTGACGAAATGGGCGGGGTGGACGCATGCAAACCTGTCGCTGGGGCCTTCGGTGGAGCTCCCCCCACGATCCTCGTGAGGGGTGTGCCGAACTGGCGGTGGGTTCGCGGGTGGTCGCGGGTTGGGTCGCAGGTGGGGGTCCGCAGGGGTTGGTCGCGGGGTGGGTTGCGGGGTGGGTCGCGGTGGTCGCGGTGGGACCGACAACAATAATCACAACAACATAACAACAAACATCATTTCAGGACTGTCGGCCCTTATCTGCCCGTTGTGCCAATAACGCGAATTCCCCAAACCCTCGATACCCGCCCTTTTCGTCTTCGATCGAACCCCTTTTGGGGGGTATACCTTTCTTCCCTGCAGGCCGGGCCCCAGCAAGCGGCGGGGCGGCCGCGGACCGTCGGCCTGGCCAGCGGCAGCGCTGATCGGCGGGGCGGCCGCGGACCGTCGACCCGACCCCACGAGGGACGGACAGGGGACCGACCAGGGGGAAGAAGGGGGGGGGGGGGGGGGGGGGGCGACGACTACGACGACGACTACGACGAACCGACGACGACGACGACGACTACGACGACGACTTCGAGACAGGACAGGAGCGACGACGACGACGGCGACGACGAGCGAAAGCGAGAGCGAGAGAGAACGACAGCAGGGCCACGAAGGGCACGAAGTAGGCCACGAAGGGGCGACAGCGGGGACACGAAGGGAATGCGTATGGGGCCACGAAGAGCGCGAACGAGCGGGGGCCACGAAATGCAGATAATGCAAGGCCACAGAAGGCAACTATGGGGCCACTGAGGGTAGCAACTGGGCCACGTAGGACACTGAGGGGGACGCAGATGGCGACAGCGGGGCCGCGAAGGGCATGCACATGGGGCCACAACGGGCACGACTCCTGGGTGCCTGGGTGTCGGGAGCGCGGCGCTTGGGCAAATTGCAGGAAATTCCAACGCAAGGCCATTCTTCAGTAAGTTGCAAGCAAGTCTCCAGCGAGAGCGCGACTCCAGAGCGCCGGGAGAGCGATTCCTGCATAAATTGTAAGGAAGTCCTAAGCGAGAGCGCGATTCCTGAATAAAATGCGAGGAAGTCTCGGGCGGGAGCGGGGGTCCCGGCTAAATTGCGAGGAAGTCTCATGCGGTAGCCGTTGTTGTTGTAACCCGGGGGCCAGGGGGCCAGTTTGAGCAGGAAGACTTTCCCTGTCAAAAAACAGGGTGCAAGCGCCGAGGGGCACACTTTGATTGAGAAAAACAGTATGCACCGGTGAGGGGGATCAACAATAATTATTCGTCAGCAATGAAAATTCAGCAACAACAACACCAACACCAACACCAACACCAACACCAACAACACCACCACCACCACGAACAACAACAACAACAACAACAACAACAACAACAACAACAACAACAACAACAACAACGACAACAACAACAACAACACCAACACCAACACCAACACCAACACCAACACCAACACCAACACCAACACCAACACCAACACCAACACCAACACCAACACCACCAACACCACCAACACCACCAACACCAACACCAACAACAACAATAACATCAACAACGCAACAAACATAATCCTCACCACGGATCCTCACTTCAGCCACGCACCCAAGGAGAATGAATGACCGTTCTGCCCCCTCACTCTGACTATAAGATTTCTCGACTCGTGCGTCGCCCCTGGGGGGGCGACGCACCCGGGGTGACGCCGGCCCCACGGCGTGGGGTGCAGCGGCGCGCCTGCTGGCCGACCGGCAGTGACCTCAAGGCGGAGCTCATGGTGCCGAGAGCACTCGCGAGGGTCGCGACCTTCCGGGGGGGGGCGGCTGCTTCTCCGCTCCTGGCCGGGCCGAGCCTGAGCCCAAGACCGGTGCGTCTGATCCAGCGTCCCAAGTCGGATCCGTTGGTTCCTCTGGGCAACAAGCTGAAACGGAAAGCGGATCACTGAAAAGACAAGCTATGCGGACCAAAAGCGGACGAGAAACGGAAACGGGGCACCAGAGAAAAGAAGTGGCGCCCTCGCGCCCCGCGATGCGAGTTCAACTTTTGCACCCTCGCGACGCGCGCAGTGAGGTTGTCTTTCCAGACGCGCGACGTCTTATCTTTTCAACACGCGGTCTCCAGAAATCCCGACCCTTTCACCAAGGCTGGCGTTTATTCCCGAACCTTTTCTGACGGTGCAAGGCTCGGCGAGGGCCCCCGGAAGCCGAACATGGCCGAACATCTCCCGTCGTGTTCTTCCTCAATTAGGCTTGCCTAAAAGGTTCCTACTTGGTTAGAGGTTGGTGCCTCCCATTGTTACTTTCCTGCTTCCTCTGAATTTCCCTGGGTTCCTCGGGATCCCCGCCCTCGGTGCCTTCTATTGTCAAGCACTGCCAAGCAATGCCAACCACTGCGCCCATGCAATAGAAAGCTTTCCCTAATTGGGATCGCGCCAGGCTCATTTTCACGTCGCGGGCATTTCTGGGGCCCAGGCCACTACGCGCGAAGCGCGACTGTTTGCGCGCCCGTGGGGGTGGCCTGGGCAAGGGTCATTCGTCCCCTGCAGGTGGGATGGGGGGGGGGGGAGGGGCGCGGCCAGCCCCAGGCCCCCCGTGGGGCATCCATGCATCACCCCGTTAAGGCATGCTGCACAAAGACGCCAAGCCGGTATGGCGTTAAGGCACCAAGATAACCGAACGTCCGCGTGCCAACACATCCAAGGCGCTGAAACATGCGCTGCCCTCCCTCCGCAGGCCACCCCCCTCGTTTCGTCATCCCCTCCCTCCCCTCTCCTTCACCACCCAGTCCCACCACCGCACACGACCTACAACACCATTACGTCCAGAGGGGCCAGGGGGGCGGGGGGGACACAGCGGCGTCAGATCGAGCGCCCCTGACCGCCCTTCCCCGTCAAGCCACACCCTCCAAGGAGAAAGACACCAGCGCCCGATCGGGCCAGTCTCGCCATCCAGAATTCAGCTGCCGGAGACGATGCCACAGGATGCCGATGCTTGCGCTGCGCTCGCGTCGGCAGCTCTCTCCCGAGAACCCGAACTCCGCAAGCGCTCACCCGGCTGCTCGGACCCACGAGCCCACCACGGGGGGATGGCCACGCCACGCCCGTGGGAGGGGGGGGGTGGAGGAGGAGCACGCCCCGCATCCTCTGCGTGCGCCTACCTGGCCAGGCCGGAGCGTTCCTCAAGGAGGAGGAGGGGGGGGGGGATCACCTCAGCGGGGGGTGAGGGAACGTGCGCCGTTCGGGCACCCTCTGGGCCCGCGGTGGCAGCCTAGGAGCCATTGCAAACTCCCTTCCTGCAGTTCTCGAGTGCCCTTCGCGTTTCCCGGGGGCGCCCAAGAGGGGGACACGTCACGTCCAACAGGGGGCTCGCAAATCGTGGCCCGAAGAAGATGCGCGGCCCTGGGGGGGGCCAAGCACGTCTTGAAATATCAAAAAGGGGGCAGTGAAACCCGGGGAGGTATGCTGGCCCTGGCCATGATGATCATCCACGCGCCCTGGTCCCCCACCCCCCTCTTGGACGCCTCCGACTCTAGGGCCACTCTCCTGCAAATCTCCGACCCTCTCCAGCGTCAGTTGAACCCCCGTTGCCGTCCGCCAGACAAGCCAGGAACTGGAACGCCCCCAATGGGTACAAAGAAAAAGGCTGCACGATGCCCATCGGCGAACACCGATAGCGAAACGTGTTCAACACTTGTAGGACCTGCTGTCGGTATTTGTCCCCATTCTTTCCATCCCCTCTCCCTGAAGCCCGACGCAATGCAGAACACACAACATCGTGAAACATCCTGGCCGGAATCCCAGACCGCGCCATTTTTCGAGCAGGATCGATATGTGGCCCGGCTCGGAAAAAATCGAGACGCCAGGATGTCAGGACCACAGGTGAGTGTTCATGGGGGTGGACGCGGAGGACGCACGTTCCCCAAACGAGACAGTTGGATGCGAAAACCCTTGTCACGTATGGTACGTTGCTCGATTTGAACGCTCCACCTCAGACGGCGGGTCTCCAATGCTTCTGGCGCAACACGCGGGCGCAGAGTTGCGCCACATCAAGCGCGGCAACATCTCCCGCTGGTCCGACCGGCGGGAAATCGTTTTCTCTTTTGGCTTCTTGCAACTTCCCGTAGCGGTCGTTACCAGGGGGGGGGAGAATGGGGGCCTCGGTAATGGTACCGCTTGGGCGGGATGGGGCACGTCGGGGCGGGGGTACGCTGCGAGCGTCTCTTAGAATGCGAGCGAGCACCAACATGTGCGTGTGTGGCGGGGTCTGGGGGGGGTCCAAGCCCCCCCCCCCACCGAGCGATCGTTAGCGTTACCCAGGGCGAGGGGGTTTGGCCCGGGTGACGACCGTTACGCGCCAGAAGAGAAAAACAGCTTCGGGGTGGAGCACCGGCGCCCCCCGAGGCCTTCCGCGCAGGGACGTCGTCGGACCCGCCCGTGGTGCTCGCCTTGCCGCTCGACGAGGTCGCGGGCGACTGGGCGCCCGAGCGGCTCTCGGGGGGCTCCTGCCGCTGCCGCTCGTCCTGGGCGATCCGCTCCGCAGGAGGGTGGTGCTGCAGAGCGGACGCAGGCACGCGCGCGTCGTAAACAAACCTCGCGACGGGAGGTTGTTGGCCGTTTCTGGCCTCCGGGGCCCTCGCCGGGCCTCGCGACTGCCAAGCAGCGGCTCTGGATCAAAAGCTGCCCCTGGGGAAAGGAGTGGGAACTCCGGGGGCCGCACGTGGGCAAAACTCAAGACATCGCCTCGCGGGAGGGGGTCTCTTGTCGCAGGGCGGAGCCTTCGCCTGGCGTTCCTGCTCGCCTCCCTTGGCTTGCTCCTCCCCTCGCGGATCCTCGCCGCACCCCCCCCCCTCCCAAGGCCGCCCTCCTCCGCTCTCGCCCCCGCCCCCGCCTCCGCCCCCGCCTCCGCCCTCGCACCCGAGGAGGGAGCAGGGAGGAGGAGGGAAGAGGAGGAGAAGGGGCCCAGCATCCCGCGGCAATCGCTCCCTTTTTTCCCGCTGCTCTCGAGTGCACTTCCGTCTTGTTTGTCACACGTTACGGCCTCCTGCGCGCCCCCCGAACAGCCCGAGCAGTCGCCACACAAGGTGTTGGGCTGGCACGATGGCGAGACTTGGCGCGTGCAGCTGGATCCGTTCGTCTTGGTTGTGTTCGTAGCGACTTTGCCAAATTGAAGACTACCGGTCTAGCTTGGGAGCAGTCCCCGCGTTTCTGAGCCATGTGCTGCTTCTGCCTGCACATCGCATCAGTACGTCCAATACGGCACAAGAGGGCCCCCAAGACGCCCCCCATGGGGGCCACAAGAGTGCCCTCAGACTATCATCTTAGAGGGCTCCAACAGAGTCTCCATTTTTGTGGTAGCAGTGATGATGCTAATTTTGGCAACAACAGAAATCACAACCAGTCAATATCTTCGTGCAGCAGGCGAGAGCAAAACAGTACAGGCGGTAGCGTAGTGGGGCTTGTGTAGAAAGTGTGTGATACTGCATCCGCTTGTTAACTGGATAAGGTTTCGGCACTGTAATGATGCGTCCAGGCTGGGGCCCTAGCTGGAAGGATTGGGCCCAACTAGCGTCAACAGCAAACATGGGAGAGAGCAGCAGAGGGATGAGAAAGAGGAAGAAGTCTAAACGGACGGTACCTTTTCACATCGTCTCTTTCTCCTCCCCCTTGTCCTCATCCTGCTCCTCTCCACTATGTGCCATTATCCCCATCCTCTCGTCATGCTGCTCGTCCTTATCATCATCATCATCATCATCATCATCATCGTCATCATCATCATCATCACCATCATCATCATCACCGTCATCGTCATCGTCATCATCTGCATCATCATGATCATCATCATTAGTACCACTATCATCAGCATCATCATCACTATCAGCATCGTCATCGTCATCATCATCGTCATGACCATCGACATTAGCATCTTCATCATCATCAGCGTCATCAGCATGGACATCGTCATCGACATCATACTCATACACTACATCAACAACACCACCACCATCGTCATCGGCATCAACTTTATCATCAGCATCACCACCCACACCCTCACCATCACCATCATCATCACCTTCATCACCACCATCATGCTCATCCTCATCCTCATCCTCCTCCGCAGCATCATCGGCATCATCATCCTAAGTTCATCACCATAGTCATCGTCATAACCATCATCATCACATCATCACCACCACCATATCATCACAATCGTCGTCGCCACCACCATCATCCGCATCAGCATCCTCATCACCATCAGCATCATCATCATAACCATCATAACCATCATCATCATCATCATCATCATCATCATCATCACCATCACCATCAGTATCACCATCATCGCCCTTACCCGCCTCCTCTTCCTCGTCATTGCCTTCTCCCCTGCTACCTGTTCCCGGTCAACGCTTGCGAGAGCTAGCCGCGGCCTCGCAGCCGTGCGGCGGCCAGTGGATGTGACGACAGTCAGATCAGCAGCAGTTGTGTCAGCAGCACCCCCTGGAACGGAGACGGGCATGCTAGTACGGTTCGCCCTCCTCGGAGGCGCTCGTCCGAACCGAACACATCGTACAAGCATCTTGTAGTATATCGTTTCCCGAGCGGTACGGCCAGAAAGCGCACTTCACGGAGCGCACAGTATAGAAGTTTTCTCGGCGCGCGCGTCGCCCCTGGGGGGCCCCACAGTTTCAGCAGTAGGAGAGGAGCGCAGAATTCTGCTGCGCGGGTGGTACCCCCCAGCCTTCGAGTGGAGTCTGGGGCCTGGTTCTCTCGGCGCTGCGCCGCACGCCATCTCCTCTTCCCCCTCCTTCTCCTCCTCCCCCTCCCCCTCCTCCTCCGTCATGTTTCTCTTCCCTCCTCCCTGCACCCCCCGCTCCCTCCCCCGACTCGACGACGACGACGCCGACGACGCCGACGACGAGGACACCGACGACGACGCCGCCGCCGCCGACGCCGACGATCGGCGGCCTCGTGCGCACATCGTTGCGCCGCGGGGCCGACGAAGCGCCGCACGACGCGCGCGCGCGCCCCGAGGCACGGGCACGGCGAGGGAAGGGCGGCCTCGCGGAGGCCCGCGGAGAAGCGCGCAAAGGGGCCCAGGGAGGGCGCCCAGAGGCCACAGCAAAACGCGTCCGCGCAGCCAGTCCTCGTCCTTCTCCTCCTCCCTCCCCCCTCCTCCCTTCTGCCTACCGCTCCCTCCTCCTCTTCCGCTGCTGCCGCGCTACCTGCTGCATGCTCCCGCTGCTCCGCCGCGCCCCGCTGCACGCACGTCGGCACACCCCTCGCACGGGTCACACCTCACACGGCAAGTGCGCATCGTGCCGACCTGTGCGATGACTTCTGACACCGCGTGTGGGTGGCCACGCGTGAACCCTACCCCCACCCCCCACAATTTCTAAGGGGGGTGGGGTTCACTCTGCTCGGAAGCTCCCGAACGAAGCGAACCCGCATCCCCCACCCTAGAGACCGGGGGGCCGGGTTCGCGTGTGGCCGCCCAGCTTGGACCGTTCGACCTTCAACGGCCGAGGCCCTCCGAGGACGTAGGCCACTCGACATCGGCCGCCTGCGAGCCGCCGGGGGGCGTTCCACCTCGCACGCCCGCGCTGGGGCCGCCGCCGCGTCGACGCGGCGAGGGCCTGCTGGACGTCCCGCTCGGCGTGCCCACGGGGCGCCACCTCGCCTAATGTCGGCACGCCTCTCACGCGCATCGTACCCGCAGGGGGGCCTCCCGCTGCAGTCACAGCCGGGCGCGCCCGCAGAGTCCCCCACAGAAAAGCTCCCGCATGGCGCCACCGCGCTCAGGCTCGGCACGCCCCCGACTCGCTCCGTGCCTGCTGAAGGGAGCTCCAGGCACCAGGTCTCTGAATGGAGCTCGGCTGGTGATCAGCGTGCGATGGGGCTCAAAGAGCCGATGCTGCCAAGCTGTGCGCCGAAATACTCGCTCGACCACCAAAGTGGGGTAGATGAAGCCGTCATTTTGCGGTGTCTGGAAACACTGCATACACATAAACTTTCGGAGGTCCGCGCGGAACATTGAAATACTTGCTTACTGAAATGGTCCATCTTCGGTTATTTTCGACCTCCTGAGGGTGCTTCTGAGGCTCCGCAACCAGACTTCTTTGTTTCAGCACAAGTTGTCGGAGAGGTGTGGAACGAGGAGCGGAGCGGACGCGCCCCTCGATCAGCAACGGTCCCGGCTCCATGCGGTAGACATATGATACGAGGTCTTGCCATGAGACATCTTGTGGGGCAAATCCTGCGTCGATCTCGGAGGGTCCTGAGCTGGCCAAGAGCCTCCGTGGATCCCTGGGGCCCTCGGGTGATGAGACATTTCCATGAAGCACCTGGTCCCAAACATGCGACGCCTGGAATTTTTCAGTGCGTTGTCTCTGGATGTCCCGCGATCCCTTCCCCGGGGGCGGGCTCCTCATCCACAGCCGTTTCCTGACGGCCCCAAGGCCCGGCGAAGGTCCCCAGAGGCCGAACACTGCCCAAAACCTTCCGTCGTGTTTTTTTGCTTCTTTTCTCACGGTGCGATCACGTCTGGAGCGGGCAGGCCAAGCAAAATTGTTTGATCTGCCCACTGTATCGCCGACGCGGCTCCGACGAGGACGTCGGGCTCGGTGCAAGCTGACCGTGGGGCTCGCGGCGCCCAGGCTGAGCCCCCGCAGGGCGAGCAGACATCCGAGCCTCTCCTCCAGCAGAGCCCAGACATCCATCGTAACTAATGACAAACATCGAGGCGGAAGTGCTTCGTCGATTCCTGAGTCCCGGGGGCCCTCGACGGGCCCTGGACCGTCAGCAAAAAAAACTCGGGATGACGAATTGGCCATTGGGGAGGGATCGGGACTTCCCGGGGCCACGTATTGAACAAACATCAAGACATCTCATGTCTGGGAACAGGGGGTTCAAGCACATTGCTGCCAAAATGCGCATCGCCTCATGCTAGGGTCTCGACCTGCAGAGGACCCCCTGCTCCGTCCTCCACCGCCTTGACCCTGCCCCTACAGTAGATGCACACGATCAGAAATCTGGATAAACTGATAATCTAGGGACACGTTTTTCGTTGATCCCTGGACTCCCTCTGGCGTCCCAAGGCTTCTGCGGGTAACCAGGGCCATCGTGGGATAAGGAATCCTACCAGCTCTTTGGGCGAATGTGGTCTAGCGATATCTGGTTTCCTCTTTCAAAAACCTTCTTCCCTTTGGGCAGGGGAACCCTCCCCCTCCCTTCCCTTAGGTGTTTGTTGGGAGGCTCGCGAGGTGGCAGGGGGTCCTTTTTCGCCTAATATGTCTCCAAGAGGGCCTCCGATGCTCCAAAATGGTCTCCCAAATTGCTCAAGATAGCCGACGATGGTGCAAGATAGATTCCGACTTACCTTCAAGGGGCCCGACGAAGGCTACACGACGGTTCATGTGCTCTCGGAGCCCCCTCAAGATCCCTCCACGAAGGCCAAATCCGTCAAAATCCAAATGACTATCACTGATGTTTGTCTTCTCGCCTTTCCGCTTCCGATGCGCTTCTGAGGCCTTCAGATTGCCCCAAGATGGCCCGCGAGAACCCCAAGAGGAGCTTAAGACGCCCCAAGGACGGCCCCAAGAGCGCCCAGGATCAGCCCAAGAGCGGCCCAAGAGGCGATTCTGATGGCCCCAGGGGGGGAAGCAACCTTGGGACCCTCCCTTTTGATCGATGGCCTCCACGGTGTCCCCAAGAGGCCCTCCAGGGCTCCCAAGGGAGCCCACCCCCAAGAGGACTCCAAGAGGGCCCCAAGACACCCGAAAAGAGCCCCAACAGGACCGCAAGATCCCCCCAAAAAGTCCCAAGAGGGCTCCGAGAGGCGATTTTGAGGGCTCTGTCTTCGTCCTCGTTGTCCTTCCCCTCATCTTCGTTGTCGTCCTTGCCCTCATCGTCTTCTTTTCCATTTCCTCCTCTTCTTTGCCGTCGTGGTGGTGGTCGTCGTCGTCTTTCTCCTCCACCTTCCCCTCCTTCTTCCCTCGCCCCCGCGCGGGCCCCAGGGATGGCCCGAAGAGACCCTCCAATGTCACCCCCTTGCTCCCAGAGATCTCTCTGTTCACTCTGGTTGCCCGCTTTGCTTCACTACATGTGCCTCGTCGTCAATTTTCTGGTCGACTCTCATGGGCAAGGTTTTTGAATGGGCTGGTGGGGATACTTTTTTGATCGCAAGCGCACCGGGAGACGCCGGACGCCGTCAGAGCTGGTGGGGACACTATGTTTGTTCGCGAGCGCGCAGGGGTGCCAGGCGCCGTCAGGGAATTGCCGACTAGGATGCGCGAAGCGTGAAGAGTCTCCGTGGGGCACCTGCTGGCAAATCATGTTCTTTTCTTGTGCACCTCATGTGAAAGGGACTGCCCTGGAGAGGGATCGAGCATCCCACCGATTCTTGGGTGCTCGTGGAGGCAAGTGACAGGGGAACACATTGAAGGTCGTACTGCAAGAAGCATGGCAGCCCATCCGTACATCAAACTATTACGTGCAATTGTTCGCTGCCTTTGGAACGAGCGGGTCGCCCACCGCAGGTGTTGGAAGAGAAATTGGCGGATGTCTCTCACATCGTGGCTGCCAAATTCTTTGCCAACCAGCAATGCAATGGCCGATCCCGCCCCGCCCAGCACTCTCTCGTGCAAGCTCACCCTCAACACCCCATGCGTTTGCCCAACCGTCGCAACAACGTCGACGTTGTCATCGCCTGCGCGAAAGATCGGAAGCGGCGGTGTCCTCATCTGGCTCTTCTGGCACCTCTTCCAAGTTGCACATCAAGGGCACAGGCTCCTGATAAGCTGATTGACATGTATTGACGCGGCAGGTGGGAACACGACCAATGCCAAACGATAACCACGGTAATGATACGCGTCTGCGCATGGATGTTGAATGTGATTCACGCCAAATCATCTAGGCCATATCGCAAACGAATTCAAACATCACACGACGCCAACTGATCCGTCAAGAATGTGCACATCTCGCTTGTGCCACATCTCAAACTTGGTGCGGTATCGTGCGGCAACTGCCACCACTCTCGCTCGTATCGAGCACGGCGTATTAGATTAGGCCGTCGTGTGCCAGCTGGACCGAGACTTCATTCGGCCGCAAGGTTTTCGCTCACACTTTGCCAGACCTAACCGAGATCGCGCACTCTTTGGCATGAAGCAAGCGGGTCCTGAAGGGAACGGGTCCTGGACTGCGGGGCCCTCCCCCAGGAGCAATTCTTCGTCCTGAATCTTTTCCTGGCAGTCCTGGGGTCCGTGGAGGGCCCCACGGAAGACCAAACATGTGGAACAACCTCAGGACCAATTTCTATCAGGGCCAGTTTGCATCACGGCCAATTCTGGAGGTGGCGCGCTCGAAAAAACGAATGCGTTGCACGAGACGGCTGCAATCACAGAAAAAAGCAAACGAGGCTTACAGTTTACCCGGACGAGCCTCTTCTCATGAAGTCCAAGCTTTTGGGCAAATTCCTGAAAGGGTCCTCACAATTGGAACCTGCTCTTCCCTTGTGCAGGCGAACCCAAGCCGTAGAGGCCTCCTGGATGGGGTCCGAGCAGAAGGGGTCTGAGGATAGCGCCGCATCGCCGATGCATCGGCGATGCGGCTCGATGTGGAGCCCGACTTTCCCCAAGACGACGTCGCGGATGCTTCGGCGATGCAGCGCGACCATCCGACCTCTTCTGCTCGGACCCAGCCGGGGAGGACTGGAGACCTGTCGAGGGGTCCAGACCTCGCGAAGGTCCGCGCTCGACCGTGCCCAGTAGCGCCGCAGGAAGTGCGTCAAGCGCGTGCCAAAACGTGCCCCCCGACCGCATGCGACTGGCCCAGCAGGCTCCGTAGTTTGGGCCCCCCCGCGATGGCATGCTATCGCCGCGCCCATGTTGCAGCGTTGCCAGCCTGCGGCAGTCACACGCCCGTGTTGGCGGGCATGTTATGTTGCAGCGTTGCCAGCCTGCGGCAGTCACACGCCCGTGTTGGCGGGCATGGTATGCGACCCCTTTCGGGAGCCCGACGGGGCTGGTGTGGGCCCCGTCTTGGCCCCGTGGCCCAACGGGGCCGCGTGACTCCGTGCCGGCCAGGACCGCCGCTCCAGTACAAGGACCCTCGTGACGCGGCCAACCGGACGAAGGCATACGTGAGATGTTGGTATATGGGTGTGTAGATGTGTAGATATGTAGGTATGCATGCGTATGTGTATGTTTATGTGTATGTGTATAAGTATGTGTATGTGTATGTGTATGTGTGTATGTGTATAAGTATGTGCCCTCAACCCTCAAGGGTGTTCGTGAGGTGCCTAGCCAAGGCACCACCGCGTGCGACAGGGTTCTGTAACGCCGAGGTTAGGTGTCCCGGTGGGGCATGGAATGTCGTGGGGGCGTGCGACAACGAACTTCCGTCCGCACTCGACCGTGCCAACTGTTACATCGTCGGGACTCCGTATGTGGCGCGACATGCGCCAATGGCGTCCCAATGTCAAAGCCAGAACGCATTCGATCGTGCGAACTGGTGGTGTAACTATTGGGCACGAGGCGTGAATGGTGTGTCATGAAATGAGCGCGTTCCTGCATGCGGTCATGCCTTCTGGCGCCGAACTGGGCTTCCCATAATTATGGGGCGCGAAATGTGTGAGGCGCGTGCCACATTGAGCCCCAACCTGCATGTGACCGTGCCGACTAACGCTTCTGTTAGGACTTCATGTGGGACACGAAATGTTTGAAGGATGTGCCGCAATGGGCCCCAATCGGCACGCGGTTGTTCCTAGTGCTATCGGAATGGGGCCACCCTAGAACGTGCGAGTGGTGAGCCGCAGTGAGCCCCTCATCCACATGCAACCATGCCCGTTGGTGTTGTACTTGGGGCTTCATGGAGGGAGCGACAATGTGGACGGGGCGTGCCGCGCTAAGTCGCCCACTGTCTGCAACTGTACCCGCACGCGCTCTACAACTGGGGCTCCACAGATGGAGCCCGACACGCGTGAAGGCGGTGTCAACATGAAACTTGGCCCGCATGCGACCGCGCCCACCGGAGCCCCCAATGGGGCACAATGTCAATAATTGATGTGCCACAGTGGGCCTCAATCAGCATGCTACCATGCCCACTGGCGCCATCCACGGGGCCCCCTATGAAGCTCAAAGAATGCAGGAGCACGAAACGTGTATGAGAAACTTCAGAGAACGTGCGCCTTGGCCCGCATGCGACCGTGTCCACTGAGCTCCCCATGGGGTAACACAGCATGTAACAAGGGTATGCGGCGGTGAGCCTTGGACCGCGTGAGACGGTGACCAATGGCGCCGTACTCAGGGCTCCCTGAGGGGCACGGAATGTGTCAAGGGCATGCCGCAATGACCCTTGGCCCGCACGCGACTGCACCCACTGGCGCCGAAATTTGGTCTCCCAAGGGGCACGACATGTGCAAGGCGTGCATCTATACGTGTGAAAGTGTGTGTGTGTGTGTATATGTGTGTGCGTGTGTGTGCGTGTGTGTGTGTGTGTGTGCGTGTGTGTGTGATGTATGTGTATGTGTGTGTGCGCGCGTGTGTGTGTGTGTGCGTGCGTGCGTGCGTGCGTGCGTGCGTGCGTGCGTGCGTGTTTGTGTGTGTGTGTGTGTGCAAGTGTGTGTGTGTGTGTGTGTGTTTCGTGTGTGTGTGTGTGCGCGTGCGCGTGTGTGTGTGTGTGTGTGCGTGTGCGTGTGCGTGTGTGTATGTGTGTTTGTGTGTGTGTGTGTGCGTGTGCCCGGTTGGCTTATGCCACATTCCACCTTCACCGTAATTTTGTCCGCCCAGTGCCCCTCCCCGCCATCCAGGCCCAAATGGTTATGGCTGCTGCCGCCTCCGAGACCCTAAGTGGTCTCTGAGAGCTCAGCCGGGCGTCGACGCGCGCGCTCTGCTGCTTGCACTCGAATTTCTGTGCCCCGTCGCCGCGCGCGGGCACGTGTAAGGGTGTGTGTGTGTGTGTGTGTGTGTGTGTGTGTGCGTGCGTGTGTGTGTGTGTGTGGGTTGTGTGTGTATGTGCGTGTGCGAGTGTGTGTGTGTGTGTATGCGTGTGTGTGTGTGTGTGTGTGTCAGTGTGTCAGTGTGCGTGTGTGCGTGGGAGTGTCGCACTGCCGGGGGCGCAAGTCCAAACACCCCCGAGGCTGGAGGACCTCTGGGAGTCACCCGGAACGTCCGAAAGCCTCGAACCTCGAAGGGCAAGGTGTCTGGGCGCGCCCGCCGCGGCCCCCGCGGGCCCTCCCAGGCTGGTCACTGCTTGGCGGCATCGCTGCCTTCCTTGGCGCCAGCGTCCCCGTCCGAATGAGGTGCCGCCCGCTGGCAAGGCTCCATGTACAGGAGGACGGTGACGGCACCGTCCTCTGGCGTCGCGCACAACGGGGCGGCGCGAGGGTGCACGTGCTGAAAGAAACCACATCGGAGGTTCTTCTCTGATTTCGACCTCTGGGGCCCTCACTGGGCCCGTGGACCGTCAAAGGACAGCAACGCTGCTCAATATCAGAGGCCGCCCCTGGGGAAAGGGCCAGGCCTTTCGCCGACCCCGTAGAATACAAGTTCAAACATCAGATCTCTGAGAGGGGGTACACAGTAGGCACATACAATCAGAAATCATGCTACAAAAATCTTCGGGCACCTTGTTCGTCGATCTTTGAGAGTCCTAAGACGCCCCCGACCGAACTTCGGTGGGTCCCTGGGGCAATCGGGTGCCAAGAAATGTCCGTGGGATGCCTGGTGGCAGGACGAGTTCTTATCTGATGCGTCTACTGTAGCACGAGGGGAGCGGCCTTCGACGGCGGAGGGGGGGTCGTAGAATGCAGGGGGGCTTTCTCCCAGCGGTGGACAGCGCTCCCTTTGGCAACACACCCCTTGCCGCAAGCGGCCTGGAGACCGACCCCCGCAGGCGCAGGTCGTCAAACATGACGGCTGCATCGACCTCATGAGAAGCCCAATCAGAAGCTCCCGCGGGCGGATTCGCTGATCGACTTGGCAAGGTGGGGGCCTTACCACTCCTCGATTCTCAGAAGGCAGGGGCCTTGTTGGAAGGGCCCCGAGGCCTCTGAGAAGCCTCCTTAGAAGCCAGGAGGGTTCCCAAGCAGGCCCTTGCCTTCCAGGAAGGCCCCCCGGCCTTCTTAGAGGGCCGCCCCTTCGCGTCACCCCCCTTTGCACGCCGCTGAGAGTCCTCCACCTGGGCTTTGAAGTCCCACTCTGCCTGGTTGGCTGGCAGCCTGCCCACGGCGCTGCTGCGGAAGCAGTGCGTCGTCGGGCCTCTTGCCTTGGTGCTGCCCACCGCCAGTGAAAAGGTGACCTCTGGAGCGACGTCAGGCAGCGTATCCATGCAGCTAAGCTCTAGGTAGCCTCTCCCCCTGGCCTTTTTGAAGGAGGCTCCACCCTTGACGTTGCTGTGCACCTTCGGGTATATCATCATCTTGAACCTCGCCACCGTGGATGGACAAGGGCCCGCGCCAAGCGAAAGCCGAAACTCGGACGAGACGTACGCGTGCGAGTCCTTGCTGTTCAGAAAGCGCGCGGGCGTGGTCCACGTTATCTTTGCCCTGCTCGGGCTCTCGTCCTCGACGTCAAGTGACGCTCTTGGTGTCAGCGGTCTGGGCTCCAGCTCCATGCCTGGGGGGTACGGCATGTAAACACCCCAAGCTGAAGCCCCATGGCCATGCCCAAGGGGCATCGATTATGAGGAACATCCTGGAAACCTCGCTCAACAACTTAAGACCAAACTTATGTCGGATCTGCGCCGGGCTTACGTCGGCTTCGCGTGGGATTACGTCGGATCTACATCGGATTCACTTCGGATTCCCGACGGACTTACGCTGGAGCATCGCCGCGCAAACGTCGACCCATACCTTGCGGAGCGGACGCGTGGTCTGGATAAATGCGATCATTGCGCGCGGCGCGAGGCCTCCAGGATTTTCCTCATAACATCGGGTAGCCCAGTCCAGGCGTGTGCAAAGGTGGCACGGGCGGCATCATCATCGGCGGCCACATGCCCATCCACATGTGGCTGGCCTGCAGGTCTCCGAACGCGGCAGCGCCCACGGGCCCACCGTCGGCCGCGCTGGCAGAGGGCTCGCTCGGGCTGGGCGCGTCGTGCTGGTGTGTCCAAGCGATCCTGCCGTCCTGAGTGTACTGCGGCCACGCCTCCACGGTGTCCGCCCTGACGAGGTTCTTGGGCGATCCCGGCACAGTGTCCGCTCTGACGAAATCCTGGGCCCCTGGACGTCTGCAGACAGCCTGCAACGCCGGGCTCGCCTCCGAGCCGCTTCCGGGCTGCGCCTTCAGCCTCCTGGCCGCCTCGTCGAAGCGGCGCTGCTCGAGCACCTTCAGCTGCAGGTGCTCCTTCAGCTCCCCCAGCAGATCGTTGTCGACCAGGATCTCCTGTATGTCTACGGCGCCCCACTCCTGCAACTTTGCGGCGGTTGGCCTGAGCTTCTCTGTCAACCGGGCCTCCTCCAAGAACGCCGCCAAGCCGTCGACCTCTTTGTCGGTGCCGATGCGTTCCATGCACTTAGGCGAAGGAAACCCTCCAGGCACAGGCAGGAATGCGAGGCCTGGCGCCTCCCTTGCAGTTGGGGCAATAAAGGCTACGAGTGACTATCGCTATGGCGATTGGGGAACACTCTGCATGCCACTAGCCCTCTTCTCCTCTCGTCGCTATCTATCCCTCTTCCTTACAAGCGAATATCCCTGTGAAACCACTAGACGTGTCCGTAGGCCGGCCGTGGCGTTTCGCTTGTAATCTCCGAATCCGTTACGACCCCGAAGCTACGGAAAAGACTCCAGCAGCTCCATGGGTGAGGGGCGGTCGTAATCGAAGTGGCTCTCGGTTTAGCGTCGCGGGCATTTGCTGTTTGCTGGTTGTTTGGTGTCCGCGAGAATATCGGAACTTGAGGTGTTTCTCGCGCCCTACGTTTTGCATAATGTTTCAAACGAATTATGTGGTGCAATATGTGCAATGTTTTTTGTTGTTTGCAAACGAGTTGGCAAATTCCATGCTCTTGCAACATCTCACCCACCCACCCGCAACTTGGTCTTCAAAACCCATGCGCCAGCCATTGCAATGAGTGCTTGGGTTTGGCTGGTGCACCTCTGCGGCCGCGCTGGCCCGCGCGTGCTCGCGCGCGCAGCGGCCAGTTAGTTTGGCGCGACCGACGCGGCCGCGGTGGCGCTGGCCGCTGGGCGCGTCCCAGCGGGCATTTCAGTGTAAGTCGGTAACTTGGGCGGGCGCGGTATCATGGCGACGCCGACAAAAAGGTAGACACGATTATCGAAAAGGCGATGATGGTGACGATGGCGGCGATGACGACGGCATGGCCAATAACGGCGCCGACGTTGCTCGCGCCCGCCAATGTCGATGACGATGTCCTCGCGTCGGGGATGAAGTTTTTTGAAAGAATTCGACATGCGCGCGCGGGCGACACGCGCGAGTGGCGTTATTTGACACGGATCGTGCCCCCAGCCCCCAGCACGCGCGCAAGGGCGTTCGAATGAGTTCAACATGCGGCGCGAAAAGGCCCGTTTGGCAGAATTCGATGAACAGGTTGGAAAACCAATGGTTCTCTTAAAAACCCGCAAGAGCGCGAGCGAAGAATTTGTTGAACCATGTGTTGTTTTACATGTTCTGGGGCACTTGATGGCGAAACCCTTACAAGACCGAATTTGTTTGAAGGATTCCGGAATGCGCGCGCGACGACGCGCGCGCGTGCACTTCGTCCCGTCGTCTGCAAGGGATTATTGCGACAACACGCGCAAAGGCGTTCGAAAGATTTCGACGCACGCGCGCGCGAGGAGGCCAATTTGGAACAATTTCATGAAACTGCTGAATAACCTAATGCTTTCTGACGAATTCGCAAGAGCGCGGGCGCAAACTTGTTTGACATTTCTTGTCGCGAAACTATGTTTCGTGCTACAACAAATGTGTGCGTGGCACTCGCTTTTGGAATCCTTATGACACCTGGAGTTGTTGAAGGATTTCGGCATGCGCGCGCATAGGCGCGCGCGCGTGCACTCTGTCCGTTTTTGTTGCAAGGGGTTCTTGAAAACTGATGATGCGTGATAAGCGAGCACGCGCATGATACGCGCTGCAAGCGATGAGGGGGGAACCGGTACGGTCCAGCTTCGGATGGTACGAACTTATATTACGGATGGGCAATGGGGCAAAATCGTGTGCAGATGCAGATTGCAATGCGAAAAGGTGGACCGTTAACCCCTGGGGCGGCATATCCCTATATTCTTTGAAAAGGAAGACTACATGTTGTGCAATCTATGTGGCGCCGTCTACATGGTGCAATATATGTAGTGCGCTTTTTGTTGTGCGTTCTACGTGGATTCACTTGCCGAACTTGAACTTGTCAACTCCACTGCTCGCGCAATCATCCCACCCACCCACCCGCAATTTGGTTTGCAAAAACCCATGCGGGAGCGATTGCGATGAATGCTGAATGTTGGCTGGTGCATCTCTGCGGCCGCGCTATCCCGCGCATGCTCGCGCGCGCAGCGGCCAGCTACTCAGGCGCGACCGACGCGAACGCGTTTGCGCTGACCTCCCGGCACGTCCGACCGGGCACTTCAATAGTGCGAGTCGGCGACTTGGGCGGGCGCGGTATCATGGCAACGTCGACAACGGTAGACACGATGATGATAGTAGCGATGCTGGTGGCCATGCTGACAGCGACCACGGGGCAGCCAGTGACGGCGCCGATGTTGATCACGCCGACGACGATGACGGCGTCTTCGCGTCAGTGATGAAGGTTTTGGAAGGAATTCGAAATGCGCGCGCGGCAGACGCGCGAGAGTGGCTCGCATGGTCGCCACCCCAGTATGCGCGCAAGGGCGTTCGAACGATTTCGTCATGCGCGCGCGAAGCCCGTTTGGTAGCATGTTATGAAAAACCTTGAACAACTTGTGGTTGTCTGAAGAATTTGCAAAAGCAATCGCGCACGCTTTTTTGAACATCCGTGTTGCGAAACCCTGTTTTTTTTGCTTTTTGGACACTCGATTTTGAAGTCCTTCCGAAACCATGCGTTTTGGGAGGATTCCGGCATGCGCGCGCGACGACGCGCGCGTGTGCGCTTCGTCCCGCTTTCGCAATGGATTCTTGGACACTACGATTGTTGATCAACGAATGCGCGCGCATAGTGTTTTCTTCGAAAATAACCGAAGAGGGGTCGATACCGGCCTGGCTGGGATAGTCTGAATTCGCAGGTAGGATGGACATTGGGTTAGAACCAAGTGTGTTTTGCATAGGTTCCCGGGGACTCGATAAGTCCGGGTGGGGGAGGGTGGTCGAACCTATTTCTATTTGAAAGGAGAATATATATGTGGTGCAGCCTACATGAAGTAAGATATATGGTGCAGCCTGTGCGATTTACTCTAAGCGGTGCAATCGACGTGAGCGGCGACGAGGCGGAGACGGGGTGGTGACGGAGACCACCGAGCCGCCAGACCGAAGGTCAGGCCCAGACGACGGGCGGCGGAAAGGCGCAGACGGGGCGGCGACGGCGACCACGGAGCCGCTAGATCGACGGCCAGGCCCAGACGACGGGCGGCGACGAGGCGGCGACGGGGCGGCGACGGCGACCACGGAGCCGCCAGACCGACGGCCATGCCCAGACGACGGGCAGCGACGAGGCGGCGACGGGGCGGCGACGGCGACCACGGAGCCGCCAGACCGACGGCCAGGCCCAATTCCCCAGAACACACGTAAGAACCCTGACGCGCAAGCACTGTTTGGGGGAAATGCGAAAAATGCAAATTGCGCAACAAGGATTGCGCACCCACCGTTTTCAACACGCTCTTCTTGCCCAGCGCCGCGCAAATTCGCTCAAAATCCCCAGCATCTACAAAGATGGAAGGCTTGCCGTTTTCAAAATATGGTTCTCGCCCAACTGCCGCGCGCATTCGTTTCAATAATCCCACCAGCCCTTTGAGCTAAGGTGGTCTAGCGAGTTCTCTCTTTCCCCCTCCAATGCCCTGTTCCATTGGAAGAGGGGTACCCTTGCCCTCCCCTCCCTGAGATTTTTGTTGGGGGGGGGCGCGAGGAGTTAGAGCTTCAAGATGGCCCAAGATGGCTACAATAAGGCCTCCGATGCTTCAAGTTAGCCTCCATGGAAACTGAAAATAGCAGAATATGGTCCATGATAGCTTCAGACATACCTCCAAGAGAAGAGGCCCGACGAGGGCCACAAAACGGTTCCAAGTGCTCTCGGAGCCCCCATCAAGCCCCCCAAGAGGCAAACATCTTTCAAACACCTGAGGAACATCAATGGTATATGCCTTCACGCCTTTCCGCTTTCGATGCGCATTTGAAGCCTCAAGCCTGCCCCAATATGGCCCAAGAGATCCCCAAGAGGCGCCCAAGAGGAGGCCCTCCAGACGGTCCAGAGAGCGCCCAACAGTTTCCCAAGAGCGCCTCAAGAGGGCCCCAAGAGGCGGTTTCGAGGGCTTCTGGGGGGGACGGAAATCTGCCTTTGATCGATGGCCTCCAGGATGGCATCAAGAGGCCATCCAAGGCTCCCAAGAGGGCCCCCGGAGAGTGCCCCAGGAGGGCCCCAAGAGGGCCCCAAGACGCCCCCAAGAGCATCCAAGAGCGTCCCACGAGGGCCCCAAGAGGCGGTTTGCCTCCTCTTCCACCTCCTCCTCCTCCTCCTCCTACTCCTCCTACTCCTCCTCCTCCTCCTCCTCCTCCTCCTCCTCCTCCTCCTCCTCCTCCTCCCCTCGCCCCCCTGCGGGCCCGAGGGATGGCCCTAAGAGGCCCTCCAAGGCGACCCCCTTGCTCCCAGAGATCTCTCTGTTCATGTTGGTTGCCCGCTTTGTTAAACAATATGTGTGTCCCTTCGTCCCTTTCCGGCGACTCTCACGGACAACGCTTCTGGACGGGCTGGTGGGGATACTTTTTTCGGCAACCGCAGGTGAACGCGCCAGCGGCGAGTCGAGTCAGAGCGGGCCGCGCAGAGGCGAATTAAATCTAAAGCGGTGGGGCGGAGCCTCACGCGGCACCTCGGCGGCCAGGCTGGCGAGTGGAGGGGGCTGGCGGCGGCTGCCGGGAAGCTGCACTGCCAGGGGTTGCACGCATGCAACGACATGCAGAGCGGCTGACTGCCAGGGGGGCCGACTGCCAGGGTCTGCAAACGACTGAATTGGATGCAAAGGGAAAGCACCCTAAGGACTGCGAAGTACCAGGGTGGCCAGAGCCAGGTGGGACGAAGCCTCCACGAGGCAAATTGTGTGCGTGAATTGGCCAGCCAAAGCGTGAATAATTCCCCCCAGTTACAAGGATGGAGACTGGCTCATTTTCAAAATGCGATTCTCGCCTTAATGCCCCGAACATTCGTTGTTGAACACTTGGCACTGCTACAATGATGGTTTGCCAGTCGTTTCCCACATGTTGTTATCGCCCAGCGTTTGAAGCTTGCAACATCAGACACCAGGATAGTGGGCTGGTCGTTGTCAAAAGGCTGTTCTCGTCTTACTGCCGGCCGCATTCGTTGCAACATTCGATACCATCTACAAGGCTGGAGGCCAGTTCGTTTTCAAAATTCAAAATGCGGTTCTCGCCGTAGCGCCGCGAGCAATCGCTCTACAACTCCGAACGATTACAGAAATGGCTTGCCGGTCGTTTTCGAAATGTTGTTCTCGCCCGGCGCCGCGCACATCCGCTTGGAGTTTTCGATAGCTACACCGATAGGGGGCAGACTTTGTCCGAAAGGTGGGTGGTTACCGGCCTACTGCCGCGCGCATGC